CTCTGCTAGCAAAAAGTTACGGGTTTCATGCAGTGTTGCCAGATTGGGACGGTGATTTCCAGCCCAAAAGCTCACCAAAACCCGCCCACTACAAGAAAAAACCGCCCAAAATTTTACTGCCAAAATAATGTGATATAATTTCATTACCATGTCATTTAAGGTTGATAAGCACAATTTGTATCTCCTTAAAACAAAATGATGTTGATGATAAAATAAAATAAAAAATAAATAAATTTTCCAGCAAAACAGATCAAAACAGGGCAATAATTAAGGAGAATTAGCCAATATGACTAAAATGTCCAAGTGGACACTGTCAAAACGGCAATCAAGAAATGAACCGATGACTTTAACCCTCGGAAGTACACATTGCAGAACATAACGCAGAATTTAGCAGTCAAAACGGATTCATCGTTGATTCAAACCTTTTTCAGCAGCTGTCAGGGACAAGTAGAGTGCAGTCTGGATGGTGTAAAGTTGCAGATGTTTGGTTAGGCTAGTGTGCACATATGACATGGACAGGAATCGTCCCATTTTTTATTTCAATTCAAGTCATTCAACTGTGCTCTCCTCTCAGAGTTATTCACCATAGAGTGATCTCCTTCCACGTGTGCGTTTTTTAGAGTTGCTCACTACTGTACACTCTTTTGTATAGGCTATGTCACTTTGCCTTAGCGATCACTTGAATATACAGCTACAACTCGCGCTCAATCGCGTCTGCCTGGATCGCTGATTGGCTAAAAGTGCGTGCTCGTCGGTGATGTCAACACTAACGCCAGCTGACCCTGCATGAGCGTGTGTGTACAGTAATGTCATGATGACTGATTTTATGGACTACATGCACTTTAGTTTCGTTTTTTTAACCAATTAGACTTTAAAATGTAGATGTTTGAAAACCGCCGAAATGATCCCAAACCAGCCCACATTTTGACCACCCGCCCAAACCCTTTTTTACCCGCACAATCAAATTCAAAACCGCCCAATTGGGCGGGAACCCGCCCAATCTGGCAACACTGGTTTCATGTCAATAGACAAACCGGTTTCATTTTACCGCATCAACAAAGTTGATTAAATGATACCAAAACGACTCGGAGGCTGTATCTCCGCAATGCTTTGGCACATTGACACCACACTTTTGTTATTGTCACCTCACTCTGACCACAACACATCAGTTTGGTAAAGCATGTTAACAGTAAATGCCCAATGCTCTCTCTCTCTCTCTCTCTCTCTCTCTCTCTCTCTCTCTCTCTCTCTCTCTCTCTCTCTCTCTCTCTCTCTCTCTCTCTCTCTCTCTCTCTCTCTCTCTCTCTCTCTCTCTCTCTCTCTCTCTCTCTCTCTCTCTCTCTCTCTCTCTCTCTCTCTCTCTGCAGGTGATCAATGCAGCCGTGGCACAGGTGACGGCTGTGGCTGAAGGTAAACTCACCGAAGAGGATCTCACCAGAGCAAAGTGAGTCAGCTGACCAAATCACCAGTCTTTGCATTGGCAAAGCTTTTACACCCATAATGCACTGCCGAATAATCAGTGCCTTCTGAACTAATGCAAATGAAATGCTTGTAGTTACAGGAAATATTTCTATAAAAACGACAGGCTTTCATAAAGCTCAGAGTTGGTGTGTGTGTGTGTGTGTAGGACCCAGCTGAAGGCGGATTACCTGATGTCCCTGGAGAGTTCGGAGGGTCTTCTGGAGGAGCTGGGTGTTCAGGTGATCAGCAGCGGCTCCTACAGCTCACCAGAGTCTGTCGCGCAGGCCATCGACTCCCTCACCGCCAGCGACGTGCTCAAAGTAAGACTCTTAACCGAGCGGCAACTGTCCGGTCGCTCTCATGAAGCAACACGAACGTGACTTAAACTGCAGTTCATCGACTGGCCACTAGAGACAGGCTCCAAAAGAGAGTCACTCCCATAGACACCCATGTTAATATGTCCAACTTTACAGCTGAGAAAAATGTGTTTTCAGCCTGGTTCAAAAAGTGCTTTTGCCCTATAAAGCTAATTTTGGCCTTCATGAAAACTGTGAGGGGGTGAATTTTTTTTATAACTAATCAGTTTAAATTAAATTGAGCCTTAAAGTTCTGCATAATTAAGGGTGTGGCCACTTGAGTGACAGGTGGATTGCCGCTAATGTCACTTCTAGCCGTTTGCCTGTAGGGCTGTCAAAATTGCTCAAAAATGACGTTCAAATATTCCCTAAAAAAAAAAAAAACATGTATTCGAACATCTGGTTGCGCATTTTGTCAATGTCAATTACGTCAATAACACGACAAATTCATAAAAAGAGACATAACTACTTGTATAGGTAGTTTATTTAAGTTTAAACATATTTGACAACGTATTACCAACACAAATGGCCAAGACCGCAGACCTCACTCTCACTCGCACTCAGGCACTCTCTCTCGCCCTCACGCTCTCTGCGCAAAACGGTTTAAACGAACAACAACAATAAACAAATGTTGAGTGCTGATCAAGAGTTTTGTGCAAGCGATTAAAGGTCGTGACTCCTGTCCCAAATATACCAGGCTTCATTCAGTGATTGAAACAAATATTATTCACATTAATTGAAGTTTTACAGTATTTTAAACCGACATTGAACGCTCCGAGCGAGCTGTGCTGTGGTAAACATGGACCTTTCCTTGACATGAAACGGTAAATGATCAAACCAGTGGAAGCCTGCAGTGCACGAATCTGCTGTATCTAACCTACCGTATTCATGCAATATCTATTTAGTCAGTGCAGTATCCTACACTTTAGGAAAAAACACCACATTCTAATATTAATTTTCACCTTCGAAATTCAGATTTTTAAAACTATTCGAATTTAGAATATCCGGGAAAAAAATTCACAGTATTATCTGGAATCTTTTTCTTTCGGTTCAAATTCAAGCTAGTCGGACTGATTGAGGGTTTTTCAGTCCGATTGTGGCGTCAGTCCCATTATAAACTACACCACTGTTCAAAAGCTTGTGGAGTCAGAAAGATTTTTACGTTATTTTTTTATATTAGTGATCTAAATAAACAATTCTCGTGACTAATAATATAAGCTAATAGCTCACCTGGTGGGTTTGCCAGTGGCTTCACTTGTTCGTGAAATGGTTAAAGCAGTAAAAAAAACATCTTTTCTTTTGTTTTGTCTACAGGCTGCAAAGAAGTTTGTTGAAAGCAAGAAGACCATGTCAAGTTGTGGACATCTGGCCAACACACCATTTGTTGATGAATTGTGAGGGGAAAGTCCTAGTGTAAAGTGCACACATTGTGCAGCTGCCTCCTCAAGTGTAAAAATAATCCTGATTACTGTTGACGGTTGTGTTTTTTTGGCCTGTTCATCATGAAGTCTGGTCTTTAGTAATGGTTTACTGAGAACACAGCCATCCTTTTCACTGTATATGTGCTGTACATTCATTAAAGCAAGTCTATCGGTCATAAACACTGCTCGTCTGCTTCATGATCTGTAAATATTTCTTTCATAAATGTCTATCTGTGTCAGTTCTTCCGGTGGCCGGAGGAGGGAGACAATGAGGAGATAAACGTGGGGGGAAATAACATAGTGTGTAAGGTTTTAAAAAGGTATGTGTGAATTATTAAAAGTAAAAGACTACAACAAAAGATGCATTTAAAAAAAATAATTTCACCAAAACTCTTTATTTCACTAGAATAAGGTCATGCATGATTAATGCGTTTTTGTAATTAAAACATTACCAGGCATGTTTTAATTAAGTCAAAGATTTAGCATAAATGTGTTAAAAGTATCTCTCATATATATATATATATTTAAACTAACCTATATAGTTTTAAATTTAAACTCTAGTCATAGATCAGTCAATAAAAATAAAAACAAATTTCAACATACTTTTCTCCTGGCTTGTATTGAGTATTTGTCATAAGGTTACTGAAGAATGAACACTAACTTACTTGTTACCTATTTCCATATGTAAATCAATTATGATTATATTCTATTGTAATTTGAGCAGTATCCATCCACATGCTCATACATTAGACAAACATTTTCCAGTGTCTATCTTCATTTTTGTCTGCTTAATATCAGGTTTTTTTTTTACATTGTCCTTTTTATTTATTTTATCTGTAATGTAAACATAAGCACATGATATAATTGGTGCCCGAATGCGCAACTAAACGCATTTGTATGGCGATCTCGTGCTTTTTGGACCCCGCTGCTCGTCATTCATAATACAAACACGTTATTGTCTCTTTCTCCTTCGTCCATAACGCATATATTGTTCATGAAATGTATTTTGAGATTCCTGCCAGCATTAAGTGGGTAATTACAGAAGTGCTGACAGATGTTGATGATGCCCACACACACACACACACACACACACACAGAACTGACCTCCTCTAGTCACGCGGATGAGTCTCGCGAGAGCATAGACGACGGCGAGATCTCGCGGGCCTGTTGTGTCTGACGACAGACGCTGCGTGGGGGTTTTCGCTTGATGTCATTGGGAAAGACGCGAGAGAGGAGCGTTTACATCGCATGCTTCTGCGGCTTTCTTCACGAATCCACGCAGTTTAACGATCTTTCTCCGCACATTTCGACGAGTTTTTCGGCCACGAAAGTGATGCGGTGCAGCCGTGCTCGCGCTCGTCGTCCGTGAAGCTGCGCGCGCAGCTTGAGCTGAAAGATGGACCACAACACCGTCGACCAAAACGGCCGCTAATTCGTTACTTTCACGCCTTTTTTTGCTGTTAAATCCCACGATCGAGACTTTATTTGAGATGGATACGTGGACGTCGAGTGGAAGTAGGCCCTCCGGATGGCAAACAAACCGTGCGGAGGATCTGTAGCCTGTTAGCAAGTAACGTTACGTTAACAGAAGAAGAAGAAGCCCGCAGTGTGTGATGAGGATGATGATGATGATGGAGCATCAACTGTCAGGAGGAAGATCAGAAACACAACCTGGTCTTTAGGGATCGTGTGTTTCCTTCTATAAATCTGCTGGACTTCTTGCCATATCATATCATAACACACACACACACACACACAGCGCGTATCATGCGGGCGGACTCGAGCAGTGCTGTTGTTCACTGATATATCTGTAGTGTAGAGAGACTAGCTCAGTTGTTCACTCCTGAATCTGAGCCCAGGGCACCTGAGATGGATAAACTCACCATTATTTCAGGATGTCTCTTTCTGGCTGCGGATATATTTGCCATAGCGAGCATTGCCAACCCGGACTGGATCAACACTGGCGAGTCAGCAGGTGAGAAACCACATCTGATCAATAACTCGTGTGTGTGTGTGTCTTTAAAGAGATGTGTGTACATACCAGCTTCGTCCTCATCTGTTCTGATAATAATAAAGTTCTGGCTCAGATTACATTATAAAGATAGACATCTAAACTTGACGTTAAAAGCATGATTACGGCCATTTGGTTCTTGTGTCTTTTTACACACAATCGCATTTGAATGTACATGAACTAACGTTACTTGAGCTGATCAGCATTTACTATTATAATGTTTGTTTAATGCAATCAAATGTAGCAGAGCTGGGCTGTGTATTATTGAGACAAAATGAACGATTTGATTCACAAGCTTGCGATTCAGTTCTGATCTCGATACTTTTGGATATATATATATATATAACATATCAGTCACAGTACATGCATCATTTGTTACCTGAATTTCGTAGAAAGTGACTGAAAATAGATTAAAGCTTTTTAATATCAAAAGTATATCACTTATAAATCATAACAATAAATTCTGAATCATATAAATCATAATTTTCACAGGGACGGCGGATGTAAAATAGCCTTTTGGCTAATTCTGGCACACTATACATTTATTTATGTATTATTAGTGTGCATTGTCCCTGTTAAATACACCTGAAATAAATAAATATCAAAGCGATTTATTGGATGGGAGGTGTTTTGTAATAAACAGGACGGACTACTAAAACATCAAATCTTTGGATTTAAAGGGATAGTTCACCCAAAATAAAATTCTGTCATTAATTACTCTATCATGTTGTTCCAAACCCGTAAGACTATAGTTCATCTTCAGAACACAAATTAAGATATTTTTGATGAAATCTGAGAGATTACTGTCCTTCCATTTACAGACTACGCAACTACCATTTACCACCATTAAACATATCTTCATTTGTGTTCTGAAGATGAACAGCATTTTCATTTGAGTGAACTAACCCTTTAAGAATCAATATATGTTTATCAAAATGAGAATCTTTTAAAAACCAAATATCGATATTTTCAACACAGTCCTAATATTTCCCAACAGGTTTCCATGATCATTGCTATATCAGTGAACTTTAGCGCAGTCATTTGATACTCATAGAATGGTCTAAAGTTTGCAGCTCAAAAATATTGTTTGGTTTGTAATTAAATATTGAAACTTGCTTTTTTTTGTTTTAAGCTCATTTAAAGATGCGTATACAATTGATTGTTTTTCATTATAACGTAATCTCATCTATTAAACATTTTGGTAATCAGTAATACAAAAAAAAAAAGCCATATAAGCATGTTTAAAATCATTATCCAGTAATCAGGAGCGACCCAAAAGGTCACAGATTGCACCATGATTCTTTATTAATATTTAACCATAGATATTGTAATGATCTGACCGCTTCTTCATGCGCATATGAGCTTTAGATGATTTTACCCAAGTCATTCATTCAGCAGGCCTGTTTTAGTTATTGTCGGGTGTTATTTATTAGGCGCTGTTATTATTAAAGATGTAAAGTGTGTGTGTGTGTGTGTATAAACAGCTGCTCTTTGTTCAGCATTCATGACTGCTCAATAAGTGGGTCAGCAGGGGTTCAAGCTCAATCCTCCACTGCGAGTCACTGCCCTCTCTCACACACACACACACACACAGTCTCGCGCTGCAGTGCTGAATCAGGTGTCAGAACACACACGGCCATGTCAAGATATTCCTTTGTGTCCGCTTCAGCACACGATGTTCACCACACGCGTCCTATCGGGTTCATTCAGCCCACGTGACTGTCTGGGGTCGGTGGCCCACACTTATGATGAAACCAGCGGCCAGAAGTTGTTATAGCTGAATGTCAACAAATTAGCTATATATATATATATATATCAGGGCTCTAGAGTGCGACCAATTTGGTCGCATATGCGACCAAAATTTGTAAGGGTGCGACTAAATTTTTTCCAAGGTCGCACCGGTGCACCTAACGTCCTCGCGTCCGCTGCCAAGTTTCCATGAGCGAAGCGCTTGTTCTCCTTTGTCGGAACTCACAGCACACTCATGGTTGGATCATATCGTGGTCTAAACCAATCAGAGACAGAGATAGGGCGGGTCTTTGCCTCTGATTGGCTGTGGTAGGCCTACACTGCTCCGTGCTGTGTGACTGAAATTGCGACCTGAGCACCAGAGAATCAGTTACGGCAATCAGCATCAGCAAAAGAAACGCAAGAAAACAGACGACGAACAATGAAAAGAAATAGACCCATAGAGTTTTTTCTTTTAGAAAAGTAGGCCTGTTTCCACCAACACTCTGCCCGGTACGAATGGGTACCGAAACCCGGTATTCAACTTCTGAAAGACCGCTGTATCGATCAGCTCGGACGTGAGTTCTGATGTCGGTAACTTACTGGAGAAATTAAGAAAATACAAATTTATCTTGCGAGCCTTTTCTGTGTATAATAATATTACACCATTTTTGCTATTCGCAGTCCAAGAGAGAGAGAGAGAGATCTCACGCGGAGCCACAGCGCGCAAAACACGACAGCTCTGCTTAATGAGTGACGACGCAGAACTAAACATTCAAACGTAGCCTGGTTACACTTTAGGTCTGTGATATTAGTCTGATTTTGTTTTAGATTTCGGCTTCCAAAGATTGTAAAAAAATATATTGAGGTAAAACCATTAAAAACTACAGACACATTCGGTCTGGCGCAGCTTACTTCCATTCGCAGCAGTGCGCTGTCACTTCTCCCTAAAACTCAAACTTAACGACAGAATCAGCTCGTGATTGTTGTAAAATGCAGTCCAGCTACTGTTGCTAAATTGCGGGACGCGTTTAATAATAAAAAGAGCTATTAAAAGCACAAAAGTCTGCACAAGAGATGCTGTTCCCAAGGCGACGCGCGCTCTAAAAACAGAACGTAACGAGACAAGCAAATTATACTTTGGGTTTCATGTGCGTGTCTAAACTATTAAATGTACACAAAAATATGTCAAAATGACCGGCTTGTATTCACAGCTCTTGAATTAATAACTTCAGCTTTAATAAGCATTATCTATCTATGATAAAATATGCAGTGTTATTTTACATTTGATTACTTTATTAGATTTCTTTTTAGACCATACTTGAACAGTAGCTAATGTTAGTAGACCTTCCTGAAATTAAAGCACTGTGTAGGCCTATATAATGTGCATCTTTGTTTAATTGTTTATCTTTGTTTATAAAACAAAAAGAACCGATAAGAATACTGTTAAAGTACCGGATCGCTAAGGAGTATCGGTAAGAGTAGTAGTAATACCGTTAAAACCTTATGGATACCCATCCCTACTCCCCGGTCAATGCTCCGACAACAGCCCAGACATGGAGCTACTTCAGCCACCCGTCTCCCCAGTCCCTGTAAGATGCCAAGCCCTGGTCCTTCCTCGGTGAGCCTACCGAGCCTGAGCTAGAGACTCAAAATAGTTAGTTTGGCAGCTCAGTGAAGCACAATTTTTTTTTGTATACAATATAATTGTGCTTCAAATTAAAAAAAAGTATTTACCTACACCTTATTCTTGTTTAAAATCATTTACATAATATATATGCATGTATATGGAGCATGATAAAAAGCTGAGCTTGAAATTGTGGCGTTAAAGGCGACGGGAGCCGAGGAAACATTTGGGTGCACCTAAATTTTGTGCTGGTGCACCTAAATAAAAAAGTTAGGCGCACCAGTGCAACCAAGGCAAAAAGTTAGTCTGGAGCCCTGTATATATATATATATATATCACTAAAACACTGTACTTAATGAAAAACTAATGTGTGCTATATATTTAAATATATATATATATATATATATATAATATATATATATATATATATATATATATATACACACACATATTAGTTTTTCATTAAGCACAGTGTTTTAGTGATTATAATTATGATCCACAGCATTGTGTAATTAACACTTACGCACATTAACCAAACCCACAGCCCAATTCTGTAATGTGTCCAGGGGTCTGGTTTACTTTTCTTTCTCAGTTTGTAATTAAAAGAAAAGTTACCCAAAACTAGTCTCATTTTATAGTCCTTTTTTATAGTGGTCAACCGAATTTTTTTTTATTTTTTTTTTTTTTTTTTTTTTGATGGCCGATATCTTACAGAAGCAGGACGGCCGATATAAAGCCTATATACATTTATTTTAATTAATATTTAATAAATTGGAAATAAATGTAAATAATAAAGATTTAAAGTAAACATGCTTATACTTTAGATGGCAATTGATTCTGCATTCCTTTTACAGTATTTTTCACAAATAAAGTAATTGTTTAAAAAAAAAATATGAATAAGCAGCAAGTAAACACTGTAACAGGGCCCTCGGTAATCTGGTAAGTTTGTGCGCACTGGTAATCATATTTTTGTTATTAATAAAGTCTAGGTAACACTAATTGTAAGTGAGCGCTGTGTGATCAGGCGTTCGCAGCGACGCCCGGCAAAATAAAAGTCCCGCTTCTAACACACCGGATTAACTTATCAGCCGATGTTTACAAAAAATACCAAATATCGGCCGATATAAACCACTACTCTTTTATGCTGTTATGAAATTAGTAAATGGGTGATGGATCCACTGGGAGTCAAACACATGTTTTGGCATCCAAACACACACGATATGCTTTGCAATATATTACTGGAGTGTAATATGGCAATATAATATAATGCTTAACAATAGCTATGTTTCCAACCAACTATTCTCATGTGCGTTTTGGGATATTGCGTAAGAAAATCGCTGGATGGAAACGCCAACATGCTCATAATTTCAAGAAATGCACATAAAAAAACTAGCGATGCACCGATACCATCTTTTTCAGAATCGATCCGATCCGATACCAAAAATTCTGAGTATCGACCGATACAGATACCGATCCGATACCAGCGCAGTTTTTTTTTAAATCAAGTAGAATTTTTATAACTCTGTGTGTTGAACTGATAATCACTCTTTTGTGTGTTAAACACAATCTACTTATACAGACAACTTCATTATAAAGAAAAACAACAAAT